AATTCAGAAGAACACGAAGAATTAATATCATGCTTTTATATTAAAAAAATAACAATTTATACAAATAGAAAAGAGAAAATTGTACTTACATTAGTAAATCTCAATTAAGTAGTAACTAAAAAATTTATTAGGAAACATAAAACAAGAACTTAATGTTACACAAAAAAATTATTGCAATGAATTTAAGAGTGCATTTTTTGGCTTTAGCCAAAAATTCTTTGGAAAATTTTCTGTCATAACAATTAGTTTCCTCATAACATTTAGCAATTAAAATGTTTTCTAGAGTTTTTGGTGAAAATTGAAGAACAAAACATAGTGTTTGTTGTAGAGAAAAGAGGCTACACCCTTTTTGTCACCCACCATGACATGAGCATTATCTGCACCAAATGAAATGCAGTTTGATATTGGGATGTTAAGTTTTTTCAACTCATTAATTACTAAGGAGGCAATATTTTTCCCCGTAGCGTCTCCATTTAACAATGGAAGATGCAAAAGATGAGTTTTAATTTATGCTGAATTCTGGAGTGCAGCTATCGTTTTACTTTGTGCATCGCAAGCAAATTAGTTCACAATAGAAGATGTTTTCGTGCGAGCACAACATATTCTGAGCAATCTTGGAGTTGGGAAACATCCGTCTGAAAAGTTGACCGGCAGCGCTTAGCGGCACGTTGTGTTCGATGAGGAATGCAGTAAACAAACACTCTGCCAAAATGACATCGGCATCCGAATTCGTAGCTGAAATGAAAAAAAATCATCCACTTTCTTTGAGCTTGTCGAAGCCGAAGCATTAACTTCATGCTTTTTAGACTTAACATGCTTCACAATGTCACTTCTTCCACCGTGACTTATTATGAAGTAACACACGCACACGTTACAAAATGCATAGTTATTTCCTTTGAAGGATTCTTTAATTGTTGGAAATTCGGCTTTGTAGGCAGGTCGAAAATATTGAGTATATGGTTTTTTTGAACTCATTTCGTAACAACAACATATTAAGAAAATTCGTAGTACGTTCAAACAAACAAACAAAAAAAAAAAAAAAAAAAAAAGGGCGATAATCCACGCTCCGAGTCCGAGCGAAAAGAGTGGGAGAAACAAGTTCAGCGCGTTGGATTGGCTGGTTAAGCGACGAGTTGGAAGAAACCGCAGGTTACTGGATTCGAAGTAGTCGGTAAAACACGATGCAATTGGCGAAAATCGCTGAATTGGCGAAAAATTCTAAAATTTCGACAAAAATCACTAAAAACACTTGAAAAAGGGAAAAAATCAAAAAAAATGGATTACAATCGTAAAATTGTCAAGACAAACGCATTTTCGTAAAAACTACGAAAAATTCGTAAAAGTTGGCAGGTATGAACATGGTCTCTTTGCATTTACTGCATGCAAAGTACTTCTTTTCTGAAGAAAGACGGAAGCTGCTTGCTCATCTCTTGGCAATCTCAAACTCTAAAACTCCATTTTGCTTTAAAAAAAAACACTACAAGTAGATAAAAAAACATGCTTGCATCAGGACGGAAACCAAATTGGTGCTGCCTTGCATTCAAGAAATATGCCAAAGCAAAACAAGCATCAAGTACTTGGCCTTGATGAAAAGAATTGAGAAATTGATACAACTCTGATATACACCCTAATTTCACCAAATGTGGCGATATGTGTTCTGCGCTGGTTTTTGGCACGATTGCGTGTTGTATGGCAACCTTGTTGACGTTGAAAAATCTTTCGCTGGAGTTCGTTGGTTCCTGTTATGCTTTGTGTCTGAGAAGCTAGGGGGGGGGAGATTTAATGGTGAAAATTGTTGAATTGAAGTTCGGCATAAGGAAATATCATCATGGCCATGCTGTTGAGGGGCAATGGGTATTTGGAGGTGTGGAAAGAAGGTATGGGAGGCTATTTTTAGTGGCTGTGTGTGATAGAATTAGGGATTTGTGATTATTTCTTATTTTTTTTATTTGTGAATATTAGTATGAATTTTCTGGATAGTGTGTCTGGCTGTCATATAAATACGATAGTGATTACGTGGCGGTATGTTAAAGGCGGTATGAAATTAGTATTTCTGTTGTTCGAAAAAGCATTAATGGTAAGTGCATTTTATTTTATTCTTGTTCTTATTTTGTAGAATGTTATGTTCATTGTTTTTTTAGTATGAATTTCTATCGTTGTTGTTGATTTTTGAATTGTTTGAAATTTATTTTAGTTATTTTGTTGATTAGTACATACCGTCTAAATTGTGCAATTTGTAGATGTTTTTAAAGTTGAAACGGAACGCTGTGTACATGGTATTCTTTGAAATTTATTGTTGTTATGTTAATTTAATAAAGCGAGGTGTGCGTAGTTCGTAAATTCATTTGTTGCCTAGATGGTGCCATTCGTAGATGTTTTTTTAAGTTAAAACATATCGCTGTGTACATGGACTCTTGTCAAATAATTTTGGTTAGAAACTTCACGGTTTTCACGGTTGCTATCTAAATTTTTTTGTTTTGGATTTTTAGCTTATATTGTGTGTTCAAAACGTGGTTTTTGCATTCACGAAAACCGTGTTTTTGGAGACATTTTAGGCTTAAAGTTCGAAAAAGTAGACAAAAAATTTAGATAGCAATATGGCAGCGTGGAGTTTCTCGACAAAAATATTTGGCGAGAAATTTGGTGCCTTGAGGGCGCATATCAGAGTAGTTCCGAGAAATTTTCTGATTAATGGAATACAGTCAAAGTTGTTAATTCGGACACCCATAATCCGGACCTCAAAGCTACAAATTTTCTGCGCATGCGTAGCGTAAGACCCTTACGGCTGCGAATATGCGTATGCACATGCACATAATACATTTACGCATGCGCATTTAATGTATAACGGACGGTATAAACTAAGCTAAAATTATCTATTAATTCAGTTAATGTTGCAGATTGCATTGTTCCTTAATCTTCGAATTGGATCCGGCTTATTATTTTTTGCAGAGTGTTAGAGCAATTTTATAAAAGTAAGCTTAAACTTTCGATTATGTCAAATAGAATTTCTGATATATATTATGTAAAGGATTTACAAAGCGAAAGTATATTTCGAAGTCCATTAAACAAAAATTGGAATTGCTGCAAAAGAATGGATAAAGGCATATCCTTCATTTTTCTAACAATTCTGAAATCTGTTTATCAATTTCACACTGCTCTGCGGCGGAATGGGAAATTGATCTGTCAGCACTATCCTTATCTTCAGGGCAGATGTTTTTATTTTATTTGGCTTATAATTCCTTACTAAATGTAGTATTTCATCTCGTTGTACCGTCTTTGATATGATTTAAATCAAATTCCTCGTCATTATAATTTACTTCCGATAGTGAAGAGAGTGACACAGAGGTTATTGAAAAAGAAAAAAATTTTGATTGACAAATTAGTCGGTACTCTCGAAACAGCAATTATAGGACTTGAACAGCGGAACATTGTAACTGAACAAGAAATTATGTCTGTTTATAGAATTAAAGAGATAGTATTATCGCATAAAACGAAGCAACTTAAACAACTTACATTGAAAGAAATGTTTAATAAAGTAAACAAATAAATATTAAGCTTTTCTTTTTGTAAATTTTGATACCCTTTAGATCATAATTGTTCTTTATTTCATAAATTACGGTTTCATATTTTTAATTTTATAATTTCTGCATGCCATCTTACCAGATTTAAACTGATGATCTATAATCCAGAAAAATCGATAATCCGGAATTGCCGAAGTCCTTACGAGTCCGGATTAATGACTTTTGATCGTATAGGAAGAAAAGCAAAGAAATTAAATGAAGATGATATAATTGAATTTTCACTGTGATGACAATGTCACAATTATCAATCAATTAACAGAAGACAAAATGTGTAATATAGTTTTAAATCCAGAAAACCATTGATAAATGAACAAAATTATAAAGAGGTTATTGAGAGTGAAACGTTTTTAGTTGACAACTTAATGGGAATTTCGATACAGCAATTTCGGGATTTGTAATTTTGTAACTAAGCAAGAAATTATGCCTCATAAAACCAAAGTCCATATGCACATTACATACAAAACAAATATACACATGGGAAAAAAAGTGCTTATATTAAGATAAAATAAATGTCAACATTGAGCTTTTTCAATTTTTAATACATTTTGAATCTCTTGATTAAAAAAAGGTTCCTTATTTTTACAAAATTACTATTTTAAACATTTAATTTTAGGATTTCTGCATGCCATCTTACTAGATTTAAAATATATAAAATTCGAAAGTGCCAGTTCAACAATTGGGATCTTGGACTTTGTATTGGCCTTTTTATATTGACCTGTGAATATAATGCAGTTATACAAATGTCTTTATTCTCTAACAGATATGATCTCTCTTAAAAAATGTTACCTTAAAGATTAATGAAAAAAGCTGTTCAAAACTGTTATGTAATTTTTAACATGCATGGGTATACTTTGTTTTTGAAGATATTACTCAGATGGAGAACTTTATTTGTGACACACATTTATAATTGACTTCAAAGGCCTTATGTCATTAAATATTAAATAAAAACATTAAATATAAAAATGTAGTGAACTTTAAAAAAAAAAAAAAAAGAGGAGAGTTCCCTCCAGCTACTCAAATTGCTATATTCTTCTCAAAATACACTGCAAGATTTCATTTTTTTTCATGTCTCTCTTGCTCCTTTTTTTTAATACAGCTGTTCTAGTTTGTTCCATTTGCTCAATGCACATTAATTCACATTCATAAAAAGTTTTACATGAACTACTTCATTCACTTAGTCTCTGATCTGCCTCAGCATGAATTTAAATAAATATGGCTGAACAGTCAACTTTCACATATCATGTATTCATACTTAACATATAATGGATTGATACAAGATAACACACACACACACACACACACAAAAAAAAAAAAAAAAAACTAACAAGCTACAACACATTCAAACTGACTATTCACTGCATATGTTTATAAAAGGTTATATCATTTTGCAAAGATTAGGAAGTAAAATGTTCACAGTACCTACTGCTATACCAGCTAAAATAGGAGATACAAGAACTGAGGCAACTACCCCACTTGTAACAATGAGATTTCTGCTATGCCTGCTAGTTGCCGGCCGACTGTATTTTGTATGCAACTATTAAAAAAAGAATTTTACAACTTAAATTTAATACACTTAAAAATCTGCATACATCTACTGATTAGCAATTAAACTTTAACTCCTTGCACTGATAAATGAACAGCTGAATTAAATATGAAATTAATTTCAAAATTTAAAAGACATGCTTTAATAAATTTAAGTCCCATTATCAGAAAAACTATTTGCCAATTATATAGATAAATAAGAACACTAATCTGAATTTAAATAGATTAAAAAGTTAATAACATTTAATTTTTTTCAGTATTTTAATAAAATACTGTACTATAAACTGTTTCCTAGGCCATTGGAAATAGTCTCTCTATCTATTTCATCACATTTAGACACAGTGCCCAAGACATAAGGAATGCCATCTAAGTTAGAGAAACCAATATGACCCATAACTAAGTGTACATTACCGTTATTGCCTGGTTCTGGAAAATCAAAATTGGATGATTATAAGAATCCTGTTTAAAGCTACATCCTGCTAAGGAGTGGATAGAAAGTGGTTTTCTTCAAAGCATTGTCAGCTATCTGCATGATGAACGCTTTGTTTTTTATCACCTTTTTCTATCTGCTGTTCTTAAATTTTGTAACCCTTAAATTCTGCCAGTCGACAAAACCAGACCAACTATGCAGACTCTTGATCCTAGCCATAGTCATGGAATCCACAGAATCTTCTATACTACTTGTTGTTATTTAGGATGTCTGAAGAGATCCTTATGTGGTAAAAGCACTGTCTGATCATCTAACCTCTTTGTTCGTCTTCTTGTACCTCTAAGCAACAGATTACTCAGATGAATAAAGCATTAACCTATTGCATTACTACTACCCAAGGATGGCTTCAAAATTTAAAACAAAATCATCCAGGAATATTCTACACACCATACAATGGCTTCCTAAACCCCTGGATTTACATGTCTCAAAAATGCCATAAAGCAAAAAAAAAAAAAAAAAAAAGATCCATGAATTTGAAATCGATGCCTGACAGGGTGATTGCAGACAAAGCTCCCATCATGGTTAGCATTTTTCCTAGCACAATGTCATCAATAAGATGTAATTTGAAGAGAAGGGTTGACACACAATTAGAAAGTTATTCATAATGTTTCAATTATTCTGTCTATTTAAGAAAGAATTGTGTATCCCCTCATATGCAACCTTTGAAGTTTTATTTAGATTTATTCATTAATGAACTGCTATTCCAAACATCAGTAATACTAAACACAAAACTTTAATGTTTTTCCCATTTTATTAACACTGTAATTAGACTTAAAAATATATACAATTAAAAATTTTACATTGGAATTTTTCTTACACAGGAAACAATATAAAACATTTTAAAAGGTTTTTTTTTTTTTTTTTTTTCCTTTCTTTTTTATATATAGAAATCATTTGAAATGTAAACCTACAAACATATGTTGACTTTGAATGCAAAACAAAGAAACGTGAACATTTTTTACAAAAGCAATCAATATTAAAGTATTACTTATAAAATAATAAAGAAGAAAGGGATTTAAAATTTTTTTAATTAATAGAAAGGCATGCTTGTTTTTAGAATTCTAAGGAATAATAATAATAATGAAACACATTTTTAAATAAGTTCAGATGGCTGTAACAGTAAAGAATCAAGATATAATTTGGCATTAAACAAAACGTACCTTTCGCCCAACCCAAACAGGAATTCCAATAATAATGGCAGGTACAGCAATGCCTGCAATTAATGCAATACCAACAGGAGCTCCAACTAGCATGCCAAGTTGCCACATAATTTTTTTCTTGCGACTCCAAGGTTTTTTACCCCAAAATGTACAACCAGATGGACTATATGAATTATATATATATATATATATTGTAAATATTTAAATACTAAGCATATAATATTTTAATTTATTTTGATTTTAAATTTATAATATTATACATCACATCTAAATATACACAAAAGAAACACAGATTTGAAATCGCATATTAATACGTCTAGACTTCAGATTCTGATAAAAATAACAGTTAAGGTATAAAAAGCACACAAGCTTGCTTGAGAAGGTATAACTGTTTTAAAATATTTAACATGCATCCAGAAGGTCCTCATAATAATACTGTTTTATCATTTTAATTCAAAAATAATGACAAACATACAACAATCTCTTTTTTTATATAGTTAAAATAACAAAAGATGAAAATTATTAAAGAAATCCTGCAAGACAGCTTGAATTAATCTGTTTTTAATAATTTACAATGTAATGATGCTACGTTTTATATTTAAACACAGATGGCTGTATGGATAAAAATCAAACGATATATGATGACAATTTGAGGACTCTTTGTTAGTTCTAATTTCCAAATAAGTTAAACCTATCTTTTAACTAAGCTTAATAACAGTCCCTCCATGGGTTCCTAATATAAAATACAGTAAAGAAAATACACAGAAGTGAAAATCAGTTTTATATACCAGAACAATGGATAAAAGAGGAATCATGATTTCCAAGGAATTTCAGATTCTAAAGATTTATGGCTGAAATGTACTGTTAAAAAAATACACTATTATAATATAAAAATGCAATAAAATAAGCTAAAAGGAAATTACGATTCCAGATGTCTGAAATGAATTATATCTCTAGAATGTAATATAATCTACAACTTTTACGAATGCCTCGTGAAACAGGTATTTTATCAATAGTTCTAGTTAAGTGGCAACATTTCTTGAGCCATTTCTCACATACATTCAACTCCAATTCTTGATCCAACAGCAGATTTTCAATTTCATGTAACAAAAATGTCTAGTGCTTAATATATCCACTGACAGATATAAACAGCGCATGCACATTCCATCATTAAACTATCAGAATTATATTGTTTTCATTTCTAATTATTACAAATCAGTGTTTCGCAAATGCCAGATCATGACCCATTATCACTGGGCCATGACAGCAAAAAGCCAGGTCACAGATAAATTGCTTACCTGACATATTACCAGTAACATGAAACTTTATTACAGTTTCTCAATGCATGATGTATGATACTGAAACTTATTAATTTATTTCTTTTCTATTATTAAACTTATTAATTTATTATTAAACTTATTTCTTCTTATTATTAATTTATTATTAATTAGTTCCTATTTTAATCTTATCTGCGGCATCACCAAAATTTGATTAGATTTGAGTGGAGTATACAGACCTAACTAAAATTTATTTATTTTAATGAAAACTACAAAAAGCCTAAATGATAAAAACACTGCTAGGATCTATTACCATATTTTAGTCAACTTTCGGTGACAATACAACTTTATTTACATTTTCAGTGATTATTTGTTAGTTACTAGTTGAGATAACTGTGTGCATTTTTTGCACTTATTTACTATTCATTATAATATACCACAACTAAATCAACAGGCATATGATTAAAAAAAAAAAAAAAAACCCAAGATTCTGGTTATAATTGGTAAACAATCAGACGTATTCATCAAACGTAAAAATGTTCACACAGAAGCAAATTTTTTTTGTTGATTACATTAACAATAAACAGTTAAGTAATGTTAAGCCAAACAAGAGTTGCAAGAATGGCACTATTAAATCGACACATGAAAACCTCATACAAATATGAAAAAGGAATTATCCCGGATTCAATAGTATTCTGATGATTATGTAAAATTTGGTTGATGAAAAACCATTGCATGTTGCTTGTCATATGGCCTTAGCAAATGAGTTTGCGAGACTTACAAAGTTGAAGTGGCACTTGAAATTAAAACATCCAAACTAAAAAGCATGCTGGCAAATTTCTTCATAAATCAGAAAAAAGAATTAATAACTAGTAAACACACTATGTCTTAAAAATTTTTCTCAGGAAGCTTTGTCGGAAAAATCTAGCTATGGCTTCTTATGAAATATCCCAATTAATTGCTGAAACTGGATACCCTCATAAAGTTTTGAAAAAGTTAAAAATTCCTGTAATGAAAGAGTGGGGGTCTTGTATATGTGATAAAAAAACAGCAAAATCAGATAAATACCTATGTTGTTTCTCTCCAATAATACAGTGAAGCTTAGAATCATAGAAATAGATAATATCAAAAAAAGTTGTTCTCTTAAATACAGCAATATTTTTTCTCTTCCAAGTCAATAAAAGTACAGATATAATGGATAATACCAATTTAATATGGTTTTCCCAAAAAATGCTTTTTTTTTTTTTTTTTGCCATGGCACCAGAATATTTATGGTTACATTGCAACATACACAAAGAAATTCTGGCCAAATAAAAATTAAAATTTTGCACATGGCTGAGTAAGAGTACATAAAATTTACACATTTTATAAATTATTGCCCCTTGAATTTTCCAGGTTATTTGATGCATTATATAAAGCAATGGGGAGTGAACATGAATATCTTCTTCTACAATATAAAATACCATAGTTATCCAGAGAGAATGTTTTTAAGAAACTTTTGGAAATGAAATTTTAATGTTTTTGAAGCAACACCCCCTATTGCTAAAGATGCAACATTTTAATCTAAAGACAGCTCTAGTGATACTACTGATACTGTTAACTGGCTGAAGTTACCTTACTTTTGTGAACATTTTTTATTTTTAAATAAATTAAATCTTTCATTACACAGCAACAATGTAACTTACAGGGAAAATCTCAATTTGAGGGCTCCTTGTGTGGAAGCAGGAGATTATAATGTTTTAATAAATCTAGCTGAAATGCAAAAAGAATATTTTGGGTTCAGTTACTATCATGGAACATACGACGAAAATCTTCATTGCAGTTAGCAGCAATGCTCATCTTTGCTACACAGTATGCATATGTGCTCGCCATAGTTGAGAGTATAAAAACTTTTTCGCCAAAACTACTTACTTCTCATTTTTATTGCCAGTTTGTTGCAGATGTCTGGCATTGGCTCATGTGTGCTAATGTTAAACCTCTTGCAAGATATGCTTTCCTCTTTTTTATATGTCTAATGGAGCTAAACCATTGCCATAACATCTGACAGGATTGCAGACAAATTCGAAAGAATATTTTCTCTCAATTCATAGTTAGAAAGAAAATGGTTAAGAAACCCTTTCATAATAAATATAGAATTATTGGATTAAGATATTGAATTCATTAAACTATCTTGTGATATAATGCTTAAAGACAGCTTTGAAAAAATACCACTGATAGATTTTTTTTGGTTACTCTGTCATCAAAAATATTCACGGCACAAAAGGCAATTAAGCACCTAATGCATTTTGTTACAATTTTACAAGTGTGAAACAACCTTCTCGACACTTGTTTTCCTAAAAAATAAATACATATATAAATTAGATGTCAAACCAGATTTAAAAATAAAGTTTTCATCATTTTCTGTAGACCTGAAAGTTCTTGTAAACAAGAAAAAACATAACACTTCTGCTTAAACTTTTTTATTGTTTTACATTTTAAATGTATTTCTATTACTATCACAATTAATGGAAAATATCTGGAAATTATTTTTATATTATTTTTTTATTTTTATTTATTTTTTATCAATAGGCCATAAATATTTTTACTAGGTTATGAAGGAAAAATACTAAAACAGCTAGACCATGAAAAATTTGGGGGAGGAATCCTGCTTAAAATATTATTACAGTAATTATAAATATAATTTCTTTTTTATTCATTATTATTTCTTCTTAGTGGTTTATTACTTATTTGAGCTTTTTATCCAGATGCTTTAGTTTAAAATTTCACATACAATGGACTGCAATGCTGAAGCAAGTTTATTGCAAGTTGTAATGTTATCCATAATTTGCACAAATATTTATTTCCAGGGGAAGAGGACAGCTGTTTACATGCAGCTGCTCACATACTATTGTATTGTAAATATTGAAGGAGTTAAGATATAGGAAATACAACTCAGTTGAGAGCTTAAAATGAAAAATTTGCATTGATTTTAAACTGAAAAATGTGTTATATGGCTTAAATGATTTGGAGAAAAACTGATAATTTGTTTTGATATGTCTGATTTATCTGTTTGGTATGAGCCATTACGTAACGAATTTTTTATACCAGACAGACGTTAAGTATAAAGAATATATGTTTAAGAAAAATAATAACATTTACATTGTAATACTGTAAAACATATCTGAAAAGAAAAATGAAAAACCAGCACAACGTTTCCTTGAAACCATTCCCAAGAATTAACAGCAAGGTTTTCTCATTAGATTATTATTATTTTTTTTAATATATATATGGAATTATCAGTGTACAGAATTTTGCAAATACCAGAAATTTAAGACAGGGGGGTTAAAATTCACATTTAATGCTTATGGTGGCAGGCTACAGGGCTGTTGCATTCTCACTCGCTATATTAAATGCAAAATATTTTATATGAAATCAGTAAATGATTATAAATGAGATTTATCATCAGAAGTCTGCATTTTTACATGCACTTTCTGAAATAATCCTCTTCAAATAACTTATGAACAAAAAAATATATCCAGGCTGAAAACAATGTTTCTAAATATTAATATGTTATATTAAAGCTACATACCTAAGTTTCCATTTTAACCCATAACAATAAATAACACACACAAAATAATAATAATACTAAATAAATAAATAAAATAAAAAATGGATGCAGTCCCCCCACCTCTGCAAAATAATTAGATTGAAATTTCACTGCATTTATTGCAGCATTATCATCATAATTCAAATAAAAAATTACTGAATGCATAACTGTAATTAAAACCAACATTAGCATTTAAATTGCTAACAAAATAACCTCTTACATTTACCTTAGATAATGCAGATCAGAAATCTCTTTCATACAAAGCCAGCAAAATTCTGTTCCACAAACGCTACATGTCATGTGATTACAGGAACCATCATCCATTTTTATTATTAAAACTTTGCAACAGGGACAAGGTTTGATGTCATCACCAGCTATTTTATAAAAGAGGAATAAGAAAATGTTTAAAATGCTCAATGAGCTGCTAAATAAATATTTAACTATATTACACTGTTTTTTAAATACACTGGTGAGCAAAATTAAGAGAATTTGCAAATGATACCTATTTTTAAGATATGTATTAATTATGTCGCCAAAGAATTATGCAAATATTCAAAGTCGAACACATAAGCATACACATGCATGCCTGCACAGTTGTGACTGTGGAAGGGATATAAGCCAATGAGGGTTTTTGCCGATTTGTGTGCTTGTCCGTCATATTTCTTGTAAGAATTGAGTACATTTTATAAGGTATCAGGTAAAATGAGTAGCCGCACATATATACATAACGGAATGGGGAGAATTATAGGTAGATTGAAGACAGGCCAATCACAAGTGCAGGTGGTTACAAAACCCAGTATAATTCCACGTGTCATCTACATTTTGTGGAAATTGTCTGACACTGGATCCAAATTGAGAAGACTGGGCAAAGACAACCAAGATCCACAACAAGAATGAGAATCATTATTTAGTACTTTCAGGGTGTTGACCAAGGACTGCCACAGCTTCACGGCTCTCACGTGATCTGTTTCCTGTCACTGGAGCCCTGAGTTTCACCATCTATAGTTGTCTGAAAGCTGCATCAGATAGAGCTGTTTGTATCCCGCTCACTGCAGCACGTAAGACAGTGTGTTTGGCATGCTGCAGATGCATGCACCTTTGACCACAGTTCAGTGGAGCACTGTGTTTTTCCCGAGTCGAGACTCAGCATGGACATGACTTTATCTTGGCATAACTATATCTGGAGAGAGCTTGGAGCATGATATCAGTTCTTCCTATCAGGGAAAAGGATCATAACAGTGGTGGAGGCTTGAAGGTTTCGACAAGCATTATGTTGAAAGGACGCATGCCCCCACATATGTGTGATATAGGCTCCGTAATTGCTAAGATACAAAGAGAAGATTTTAGAGCCTTACGTTCAACTTTTCAGGAGTCAGTTGGTCCTGGGTTGAATGACAATGCTCCCCCACACAGGGCACAGCTGGTCGACAATTACTAGGAAAGTGAAGATATTTGCTGCCCGAATTGGCTAGCCTGACCTGCTGACCTTAATCCTGCAGAGTATGTCTGGGACATTCTTGGGAGGCTAATTTCATCTTAATTATTCTCCTCTGAGAACCCTTTCAGAGTTGAAAACTTTCTTGTTCCAGGAGTGGGTGTGGCTTGCTACAGCGGACGCTTCAACGCGTACGCTAGATTTGGCACGCTATTAAATGGGCGCGTTTGCTAGATTTGGCGCTTTTGCGCGTACATTTTTGCTGCAATTTTTTTACGGCCTTCAAAACCGAATAATACCAAATATTATTTGAAAAAAGCAACGATTGCGACTTTGGGTTGCCATACATTAAGAAGTTTGTCAAATGAACTATTCTTGGCATAAACTGAAAAAAAAGCAGCAACATAAATTTGTGAATTTCTCCATAAATTTTGCACCAAAGTTTACAAAATTTCATGTTTAGGCATAATTTGAGCCATAGAATCGAAATATGGAAAAAATTGGTGTTATTTCAGAAAAAGTCCAATTTTGTGTCAAAATAACTACGTTAGAATAGAGCTATATATAAATCCAATACTATATATCCTATGTCACGCTTTCGAGACATGAAGAACGTAATTTGAATTTTGTCAATCGGCCTAGTAGAACAGGAGATATAGAACTGGCCCCCTTTTTTTCCCCCAGTGTAGCTAACTGGTCTGTAGTAAAGCTTTCAAATAAACATATTCATACAATGAAAAATGGAAACTCCTCAAAATAAAATCATATCGAAAACAAAAGAAAAAAGTTTTAAGACATTAAATTGGCAGAAGTCAATAAATAAAAGTAAATGAAGAACAGCAATATTTAAGAAAACAATGACTTCAATTTCTAAAAATATGTATAAATATTATCTTCTTCCAAGTGGAACAGTCAAAATGTATATTAAAATGGGAACAAAATTGATAACAATCAACAACATTTATACATTAAAAAATAACTTGTACAGGCAAAGCAAACAGAAGCACAACCCAAGAATTTCAGTACATCCTTAAAATATTAACATTAAAAAATGCTAAATTTTTAATTGCTGCTAACATTAAAAAATCCTCTTATTTTTCCAAATGGCATATGACTCATCTCATATCAACCAACATTTGCAACAGAGGCTCTATATAATTATAAAAGGGTAATGCTACTTAAAACTTACTTTGCACTATTGAATCTTGACTAAATGATACTGATGATGATCGAGGATTTGTATAATGGTGAGCCCTTTGAGCACGAGCAGCATCACATGTTTGATTTGGATGCCACTCTTGTTTACAGTGATAACAAAAGTAAGTGTTACAACCTGGACGCTCACACTTCAGCTTAGGACATCCAGCACAGCCTCTTGCGATAACAGCATACCTATAAGAGAAATAATATCATTATTAAAAATATAAAAATTACATATTTCCTTTTCAACATCAAAATTTCTCTAACATCAAAGACTGTCTTTTGACCTTTTCAATTAAATAAAAAAGACTGGTTGGTTAACTGATTATAGTAATATACTTCAGAAGAACCTGTCTTAAAAGGGATGCCTTCACAGAGGACTTTTTAAGTGAAATTGGCCTGTATTTTTGTTACATATTTGCAAAATCACAAAAACATTCATGTCGTACCTGCTAGGATTGAAGAATACAGTTCAGTGGCATTATTCGGCATTTTTTAACCCAAAAGAAAGACAATCTTCATAATATTTTTATTAGATACAGTCAAAAATTGTTAATCCCGACTCGTCGGGACTTCAGCGATTCCGGATTATCGATTTTTCCAGTTTATAGATCATCAGTTTAAATCTGGTAAGATGGCATGCAGAAATTATAAAATTAAAAATATGAAACCGTAATTTATGAAATAAAGAACAATTATAATCTAAAGGGTATCAAAATTTACAAAAGCTTAATATTTATTTGTTTACTTTATTAAACATTTCTTTCAATGTAAGTTGTTTAAGTTGCTTCGTTTTTTTATGTGATAATACATTCTCTTTAATTCTTTAAGCAGACATAATTTCTTGTTCAGTTACAAAGTTCTGCTGTTCAAGTCCTATAATTGCTGTGTCGAGAATACCGATTAATTTGTCAATTGAAATTTTTTCATTTTCAATAACGTCTGTCACTTTCTTCGCTATCGGAAGCGAATTATAATGACGAGGAATTTGATTTAAATCATATCAAAGATGGAGTACATCGAGATGAAATACTACATTTAATAAGGAATTATAAGCCAAATAAAATAAAAACATCTGCTCTGAAGATAAGGATGCACGGCAGATAAACAAAGTTTAGATAAACAAAGGATATGCCTTTATCCATTTTTTGTAGCAATTCCACTTTTTGTTTAATGAACTTCGAAACATACTTTCGCTTTGTAGATCATTTACATATTAATAAATATATATCAGAAATTCTATTTGACATATCGAAAGTTCAAGCTTACTTTTATAAAATTGCTCTAACAGGCTGCAAAAAATAATAAGCCGGATCCAATTCGAAGATTAAGGAACAACGCAATCTGCAACATTAACTGAAATACATAATTAAATAATTTTAGCTTAGTTTATACGATCCATTATACATTAAACATGCACTCGTAAACGTATTTTGCGCACGCGCACAAGCATATTTTCAGCCGTAAAGGCCTTACGCGGACGCATGCGCAGAAAGTTTGAAGCTTTGAGGTCCGGATTATAGATCATTCCGGATTATGGGTGTCGGAATTAACGACTTTTGACTGTATTTACATATCTGCTTGTTTAATTAAACATTAGACACACAGTCCTATTTGGGAGGAAGGGGGTTGATTTGATTTGATAAGAAACATTTGCTAGAAATAAAAATGATACTTGACAGTTTACTGGTGATGAGCAAATAATTACCAGGTTTCAACAACATTTATTATAAAATGATATAGCAAATCCATAACCAAAACTAAGTAATATGAATTGTGAAATCCTTTTGGGAGAATGAATTCAAAATGATGTCAATTTTTAATCTACTATCAAGTGAAAATGAAGATACAGCATTTTTTCAAGCAGAGTATTTTATCCTCCACCCAAATTTGCAAAAAAGGGGCAAGGAATGAAGATACATTAAAAGCTTGGGAAATGCCAGATATGTGAAATCTCCAAACAGTTACATTTGGAGTAAAAAATGCAGTTGCCAGTGGAAAAATCATATGAATAAAAGAAATTTCTTGTCTTAAATTATAAAAAATCTTCTTTTATCAACTTGAATATCAACAGACTTACACCACATATGATTAAAAAATTAGACTTAAAAGTCGATGTATAAATGCAAATGAATGAAACAAACAAATGAAAGTAATTTGTAATCTTATCCAATTATGAAATCCCTCCGACCATGAAAGCTGGTGGAGATATTTCTAAACTGGCGATTATTTTGGCAGAAGTTTAAATGAAGAGATCATTCTTTATTTCACTGGATTATCAACAAATACAGGTTATGAATATGATATATAAAGAATTTAAATTGCTTATCATAACTTTTCATGATGTATCGCCTTGTTTATCTCTATCAAATAATACCGCATATCATGCACATTAACGCACATTTTTCCTGATGCCAGGATCCCATAATTCTGGAAATACTCCAAAATTATGCTCCAAAGCAGGCAGGTGCAATTTTTTTTTTCAAAATGCGAAAGGAAAATAGCAGTTAACTCATACCAGATTGATTCCCGACTCCCTTTCTAAGGTGTATCTAATTCCAAGAATAGATGGATAATGGTGGGATGGATATAATCAACATCGGAAAGAGTCATGCAATTGTATGCACATTTGAGACGTATAAACGAGGTTCTGTGTTACAGTCCTTAAACATACCTTACATATCTATCATTAGCTTGGTTTTTATTTGAAAAAATTCTACACTTTTCAAATATTCCAGTTACATGAGCTTTCTGGTTAGCTGAATACCCGATAGTTAGCTTTTACTATTATATATATCCATGGAAGACCATGTATATGCAATATGAAAAATTGCCAGACAATTAACTTAACAAGTCTTGATTAAGTTCTTTCCTGTTTTACATTTCTATTAAGATTCCATTATTTAAAAAAAGCAGCTAAATTTGGCAGGTTTTTTTTTTTTCGTGGGGGGGGGGGGGAAGCTATGATTGCTTGTAAAACTGATAGGCACCATAAAAATTATTGGTAATATGAAATTTGTAATAAGCACAACAGAAATTATCAACATCATTTACACTCATGTCCATAAATTAAGGATAATGCAAAATCAGGCAAAGGAAGAGTTAGAAGCAAAACAAATTTAACTTATTTGTAAAGCTTATTTATTAAACAAAAGGTAAAGAGCAAAAAAAGATGCTATATGTTTGATATTATTAAAAAAATTAGCGATTTTTTCTCAATGGAGCAAATTACCAAAAAAAAAAAAAAAAAAAAAAAAACCTATTTACAAAAAAACCAATATTACATGGTTGGTATGATTGCTAATACATTGTATGTCTCCCAAACGATGCAATACAGTCCGTACAACGCCTAGGCATGCCGAGTATCAAATTATCGATCTTGGGGGATACACCACTCAAAAAGCAATGTTCTCGGAAGTCTCGGTGTTCCGGAGGTTGACGGGCTGCAACTCGTCGGCCAAGCATGTCCCACACGTGCTCTACTGGATTCAAGTCCGGTGAGAATACTGGCCAGTCCATACGGATGATATCCTCCAATTGAAGGCATTCGTTTACGATGTTTGCACGGTGAGGACGGGTGTTGTCATCCATAAAAACAAATTGTGCGCCCATAGCACCCTGAAACAAACTTACATGTTGTTCCAGAATGACGTCCCGATTAGATTTGGCTTGTCATGGTTCCAATTTGAACATGAAGGTCAGTTCTGGAACCCAGAATAATTCCACCCCAAACGAGCACTCCTACCCACCCGTAACGGTGTCGTCGTTCAATTGATGTTTCTTGGTGGTAACGAATACCTGGAGCTCTCCATATGAAAGTCCGGCGAGAATCAGACTGCAAGCTAAACCTGGACTCGTCGGAAAACATCACACAAGCCCCTGTTGCATGTCACAAATGCATGCTCTCTACTCCAGGCTAACCGCAGGCGACAGTAGTTGCAGTAAGTGGAACGCATCTGACAGGTCTACGAGCATATAACCAATCTGCCCTAAGCGTCTGTACACGGTCTGCCTTGAAATTGTCGTACCAGTGGCTGAAGAGAGCTGACGAGACAGGTCTCAGGCTGTGCTCCACCTGTTTTTTTGGCAGTAACTGCCAAATACCGGTCCTTATTCGGCGTTGTAACTCTGGGGCGGACCTGTGCTGTAACGTCTACTCACATTACCACATCTTGGAATCGTTGCCAAAGCCTGAGATGACACCTGGGCAATTCCAAGTTCGTTGATACTTCCAGTTGGGTACGCCACATTTTAGACGGCCGATAATTCTACGTAAAAAATCATCCAATGGCCTTTGTGTCATAACTATTGTTTTTGCACTGAAATGCTTAAAAGCGCCTGCGAAAAATTTTAATTCTTTCCTGTATCCTTATAATCACTTCTCTTACACTTCGTCATTGACGTACCCGGGTGTCATCTGGTTACTTCCTGAAATTTGCATATGATTCTTGAAGATGTGTGTAGTGATTTTACAGGTGATATATTTATTATGTAGCCCACCTATTTTAACAAAAAAATGAACAAAAAGATAAGTGAGTGCTAGACTGAATTTCAAAATAACTAGTTACATGAATTTTAGAAGCTACGACTATTTTTCTAAATAAACAAAACATTCATTTTTAAGATCAAAAGCAACTAATGAGAGACATACTAATCTTTTACTAAAAGCAGAAACAGGTCAAAAATGAACTTCCTAAAGTGATTTGGCAAATAATAAAATATTATTTACCCACAATCTGGTGCCGGGCACCATCGAGCATCTGGTTCTGTTATCAAAACCCTCCTCAACATGAACGACTCATATTTTCCAAGAAGAATCTCATCATTAAGAATCATACATATGTCGCTTGGATGAATAGGTTCAGTACA